ACATTCATTGTGAGAGCCAAGAAAGAGGTGCTGGAAGTGCAGTGGTTGCTGTGTTTCAAGAGTCCTCCAAGCCTTCATTGATTTCAGGAGGGTCTTGCGAGTGTCAGAGCCCATTTTCATTAACGCTGCTCTAATTAAAGGCAGATTAAAAAGGTAAGCTCAGCCTTGCAGCATTTGCCATCCAGCAGGGATCCTACAGATCCTTTCCCTCTACTCTGATCAAACAAGGGCCTATTTATTGATGCAGCTTTAGTCACTTAATCCACCTTTCTGAAGGAGAGAAAAATAAATCTTCAAAGCTTCACACCCATCTTGTCCTGGCAGATTAATTAAAAGTAGAGATGCTGCAGAATAAACCCCCCTGAGACAGACAGGGATGGGATGGGATGGGATGTATTCTGTGTTTGCCTTGCTCACCAGCTGATACCTGATGAGGTGAAAATCCACCTCTTCGCTTCAAGCACCTGGGCAAAGAGCTGAGCTTGGCAGATTTGAAGTAAATCCTTAACGCCAAATGAAGATTTTCCTGCTTTCAACATCTGTGACTTGTGGGGGAGATGCTGACACCGAACCTTCACTTACAGCCACGGCTGCGTCTTGGCAAGAGGTCAAGGATGTGTTTGTACCCTCCTGCCAAAGCCTGGCTTTGATTCCCTTCTCCTCCTCTAACTCACAAGTTACTCAGAGGGGTGGCAGGCACTTCCACATGACATGTGCTATTACACATGACTCAGCTCTGCTCTGGCTGCTACTAATTCTTTCACTATTTGGCCGTTCAAAACAAAAGAGACAAATGAGGAATTCATCATCATTTCCACGGAATTCCACGCTCGCAGGAGGAGTGCCCAAAATAATATTTCAGAAGCAGCAAAGAAAGTCTAAATAAATTGTGAAGAAGATTAAAATACTGTGGCTTTGGAAGCAGCAGATACTGCTGTGCTGGGGTTATTAGTGCCAGATTTGCACATATAATTAACAAGTGAGAAAAGAACTGAGCAGCAAACAATCAAACTGCTGATTTGACAGTGCAGATCAAGAATAAAATTATATGCAACAGAATATCCCTAGTTGGAAGGGACCCACAAGAAACATCAAGCCCAACTCCTGGTTTCTCGAGCTTCTGGAAAGCAGTTTATATTGTCAAGAAATGGGTAAATTATGGGACAGCAGCATTATCTCGTCTCCCTGATCTACAGGGAATTAATTTACTGTACGACAACTCAGACACCTCAAAATACATGGGAAGGTGCTTCTGTGCAAGTGGGAAATCTGCAAAATAACATGTGGAAAAAAGGAATAGCCAGGGGCTCTTTAACTGGCCAATTTGACACTTTGCATCCTTGAGCCACCTCTAGGACATGGTGTGCTGGGCTGTGATTTTTAAGGGTTTTTGTTAAGATTTGTCAATGGAATTTAAGAAATGTTAACACAAGTGGCAGCTGTGAAAGAGAGTCTGACTCACGTGCACCTGAGACAGGGAGCACGGAACCCTCAGGAGTTTAAATCTTTGCCATGTACAGTGTTGACACTGTACAGCAAATATGCACAGCCAGGACCTAATGGCTGTCCCTCATCAGCCATAGAAGGGATAAAACTGGTTTAGACGAGATCAGATTTGGGTAAATTCAACTTATTCTTGGGTTTTCATGCACAAACTCTGTTCCGTGAACTTTAAATTTTTCTGCTCCTCCTGCCTACACGGCAAGACTTTGTGTTTGTTGTCCCTTGGCATTTGCTGTTACGATTTATCAGCTCTAAAAATATCAGCCATACAATATCACAGGTAAAAAAGAAGATGCTGAAGTTCCTGAATTACCCATAATCTGCAGCTTGACAAGCATTCAGCTGAACTACCCAAATTCCTACACCCAAGGAGCACTGTAGGGTTCATAGTGGACATAAAATGAGCCAGGCTCAAGATGGAACAGCTTAGCCCACCTTGCTACAGGAAGACTTCCCTGTAGTGAATTCCCACCCTATGGTGTCTCATGAAAGAAGTTCTGCACACCAACTGTATGTAGATTACAATCTTCAGAGCAAAAAACACCTATTTGTAGTTAAATTCCACTCACCACCCACCTTGTTTTCCTCAGCACCTCCAGGAGAAGGAAATTCCCTATTCCAACCACTTTTTTTTTCTTTCATTCAAGACTGTGATTTGGAGTCTCTTAATGCACTAATTCAGCCTCTGGACTTCATTGTGGCAAATACCAAACAGCACATTATTTATCCAACTGTTCAACACCAGTGAAGTGGAAACAAATAACTTCTGTTATTTCTCCTCTTACTAGAAAGCAGGCAGCAACTGCATTTCTTGTTGAGATACAAACTTTGCGAGGGATAGAGCTGGGACTGCTCTAGAAAGCTGGATTTTGGACACTGAATTCCAGCCCCAAGTCCCAGACTCCTCTATTGCCTCCTAAACTGCTCTTCCCTTCTTTGAGAAAACTCATTAATGTATGTACTACAGCATACGCACAAATAGGTCATTTTTTCTACTCTATTGCTTTTGAAAAGAAATAAGTATCTCCCTGGGTAGCTGATGTTTGGAACAACCACGAAACAAAGCTGCTTGTTAGTCCGCACAAGTGTTGTGTGGCTGTTGAGTCCTTGGAGCAGATTTACTTCATTTATTGTTCCTAGACCATGATGTGGTTTTGGCAGCAGAGGGCTGGAAAGCTCATTCCAAAAAATCAAAGTTACCAAAGCTGACTTGCTGAGGGCGATGCAGGATGAACTAACCTTTTGTAGCAAAGGAGACAACCCCAAACTTAACCCAAAGCATAAACAAAACAGGAGCCAGCGGTGTGGGGGGAGTGGAGTTTAAAGGAGAAACACATGCAACTGAGGGAGATTTGGAGAACTCAAAACTCTATCCTTGGCATTTCAAGACAAAGGTTCAAGAACAAATTCTGCTTCAGGGAAACTCCTCACTGCCAGCAAAGGAAAGCTGGAGACATTTACTGGAGAAGCAGGAATGGGAATGAGATCTGGCTTCAAGAACTTGGATGCTGCAATCCACACTTAACCCCTGCTTTGGGGTTTGACCAATGAAATGTGAAAAGACACCTCCTCCTACCTGTTTTGGGAATGATCCTGCTGGTTAAAAGGTACTTATTATTAGAAACACGTTCTCGAAGGCTTTGGCAACTCCACCACGTGCTTGCACAGCAAAACTCTGCCATAAGGCAGTAAAAAAGCCCCTAATCAATGCCCTAATTCCCTGGCTTTTCAGAAAGGAACGGGAATGCCACGTCCACCCGTGCCATGCTCCTCTGGGTCCCTGAGGAAACCACAGTGCAGACTGGCAGGAAAGCTCCAAAACCACATTTGCAAAAGGCAAGACACCCAGGAGCAGAACTATTTCCTAACCCCGGTGAAGCTTTCTTAGTTGAATAACTGTATTTCCTTCATACGTGCCCTACACGTGGTGAAAAACCTGGATGCAAATCCACATGCCTATCTGTGTACCCTTACATTCCTCAAAATTGATGTGGGGACTGAGGAAGTTTTAATCTTGCCCAGAGAAAGTACAATCCACGGCCCTGTCTGTTATTAATGCTGTTATTACTAACGAGCCGTGTAATTTACCTCCCAAAGCCTCGGTCAGTGTGGGTATAAAGATATTTACAGACAGTATATCTTCCCGTAACGACCACGTGCTGCAGCTTTTGGATGCCTGGGATCCTCAGAGGGGGAAGGAATCTAACACAATCCCCTTGGAAAGGGCAGCACGAACAAGCAGCCTTCTCTTCACAACTTCAAAATGCAAAAAGAAAAAAGATCACCTGGCTGTGATTTTGCACAGTGAATAAACGCTTTATAAAGCCCTCCCAAAAATGACATCCTTTCCCAACATACAGCTTTATAAAGGCCCAGGAAGACCAGTGGAGCAGAACAGACTGAATGGGAAATGAGGAGGGAAGGGCAGAAAATAGTCCTGTATTTAGAGGATGAGGAATTTGGATGGGGTGACTTTGCATTCACCAGAGGAACGGAAAATGAGGCTTGAGCAGCACAACTGCAGACTCCAAAATACCAGAGAGGTGACAAAAACTGCAGCAGGAGAGAGATCTGTGTGCATCAGTGGCCCTGAATTCATCACAGCGTGACTGAACTTCTCTGCAAGGCAACGCCTCGTGAGACAGAACGTTTGCTACCAAAAAAAATCCCCATAAAAACAGGTTCTGAGCGTGGTATCAGCGCACTCGCAGCCCAGGAACAGCTCATCTCCCAACTGGTGCTGAAAACAGCCAAGCACTGAGCACAGGCCACGTTCAGCACCAGTTGCTCGTGACAGATAATTTCCCAAGCGCTCGTTATCCCCACCTCTGTGTGCACATCAGCGCCCATCCCAGGCACCGCAGCACTGCGGGGCACCAGGGGATCGTACCCTGCCCAAACGCAGTCCTGGGGGAGAGCATGAGAAATCCTATTCCAGCTCCCAGCAAAAATGCACGCTGTATTTATTGCCCACTGCTCGCTGCATTCAGAGAGGCTCATTAACCTGCACCTGGCATTTGGGGAATTTTTCACTCCATTTATTTGGGATGGGGCCACGTTTCCTTCTGCTGCCACTCAAAACAGCCAGAGAAACTCGGTATGCACAGCACGGGAGAGATGGGGCATCTCCTCCGAAGTGATGGATGAGCACACTTTCTGGGGAAGGGGACGGTGAACGAGGAGCCACGTGTAGCAGGGCAGCAGGGACCCAGAGAGGGTCATAGAATCATCGAATGGTTTGGGTCGGAAGGGAATTTAAAGATCAGCGATGATCTTTAACAGATCATCCCGGTCCCATGGGCAGGGAGACCTTCCACTAGCCCAGGTTACTCCACGCCCTGTCCAATCTGGCCTTGGACACTTGCAGGGATGGGGCAGACACAGCTACTCTGGGCAACCTGTGCCAGGGACTCACCACCCTCACAGGGCAGGATTTCTTCCCAATATCCAACCTAACCCTACTCCCCGTCAGCTCAAAGCCATTAAATGGTACTTACGGACACACAGACAGGCCACCAGCTTGGCAGCCTCGTCGGGCACGGGGCAGGTGGGGAAGATGGGCTTGAGCAGGTATGTGGCGAAGACCAGAGCCACGATGTACTGCGAGGAGGGCCGGATGATGAGCAGCTCTATCCAGAGCTTGAGGAAGGCGGGCAGGGAGCCGTACACCTCCAGCATGTAGGCGTAGTCCCCGCCGGACTTGGTGATGGTGGTGCCCAGCTCGGCGTAGCACAGGGCGCCCACGATGGAGAACGCCCCGCACACCGCCCAGACCACCAGCGACAGCCCCGGCGAGCCGGCCTCCCGCAGCACGCCCGTGGGGGTGACGAAGATGCCGGAGCCGATGATGGTGCCCACGATGATGGCCACGCCGTTGAGCAGCGTGATGGAGCGCTGCAGGGTCACCCCTTCCCCGGAGCCGCACGGCGAGGGCGAGCGGGCGCAGCCGTTCTCCTGCGCCCCTCCGCCCGCCGCCCCCAGCATCTTCTCCATCGCCTGCTTGTCCTCCTCCTGCACCAACGAGGCGGCCGAGCCCGCCGGGCTCCTCTTCTTCACGGCATTGTCGCCGGGGCCGCCGCCGCTGCCCGACATGGTGGCGGAGCGGGGCGCGGAGCGGGGCGGGCACGGCGCGGCTCCGCCGCCACCATCGGCCGCCCCTTTTGTTCCGGCGGCGGTGGGCGGCGAGCGGCGGCGGGGCCGGGCTCCTTTCCGGGGGGAGGAGAGGACGAGGAGGAGGAGGAGGAGGAGGAGAGGAGGAGGAAGGGGGGTGGTGCAGCGCCCCGGGATTGCTCGGCAGCCGCTGAGCGCCCGCCAGGGGCAGCGGCGGTGCCCGCTCCGTGCGGGGCCGCTGCTCCTTGCCGGGGGTCTCCGCTTCCTACCGGCTGTGCCCGCTCTGCTACCGGGGGTACCTGCTCCGCTCCGGCCGTAACCGCCCCTTAACCGCGGTACCCGCTCCGTGCGGGGGGTACTCGCTCCTTACCGGGGGCTCCCTCTCCTACCGGCGCATCTCTCTCATCCCGACCCCCTCCCGGCGCCCCAAGACAAGGGAAGCGAAGCGGCCACCCCACATCTCTGCTCCCGGGTACAGAGGGGCGCGTTACCATCCGCTGTCCTGCCTGCACGGGCTGTGTGTTCCTATAGAGGAGAACGGACCCCTGTGTGTCTAAACCTGCATTCAGCAGAACCTGTGTTTCAGGCCCCTCCAGTCCCATCTTGCTCTGCACTTCTATCCTCCTTCCACCCAAGTCTCCGGTGCTGCCTCACCTGCATCTCTGCAGAGGCACTGCAGGAACCTGCCTGTCATGGCAGATGCCAAAATCACAAAAAACCCACCAAAACTGATTTGTCAATCTGAAATCTGACTGCCATGTCGGATGCCAAAACCACCAAAAAAGGCTTGTTTGGAAACTGAAAATATAAAATAATTCACCAATCTGGTAGCGTGCAGGCAAAACAGGCAGGCATAAGTTTTGCATCCAAGAAGGCTCACTTGGATACTGCAGTAAGGCCAAAGGAGCCAACTTCAGATTCCCACTTGCCCTTGCAGGAGAGGAGAGGAGCCCTGAGCCTGGAAGCTCTGATTCCCAACAAAACTCCTTCTCACAGAGACATGGAAGTGGTACCTCTGAGGAGCTGTTTCTCAGCAGGGGTCAGTTGGTGTCACACAAGGAGTCATGCCCAAGCTCCAAAACCCGAAGTTGTCCATCCTCCTGGACCATCCTCCTCTGTGCAGGTTTCAGATAGCGGGTGGATCAGAAGGTTTTCTCCAAGACACCTCAGCAAACGTAAGATGGGAATTCTGGGGAAAGATGTTACATTTCAGTAACATGTTCAGGTACCTCATACTGGTAATTGCCATCGCCACTACTCCCAACCATTCCAGGAATCCCGAGCAGCCTAATCCTGGGAGCACTATCCAAACCTGACATCTAGTGGCTGCTCAGCCCAGGGGCTCAAAAATCTGCTGCTGGGTTTATGTAAACATCCAGACTTAAAAAGAAAGCTTAGAAAAAAATTACCTTGGCACCGAGCACATTCTTCCAGCTTTCAACTAGAAATGGGAACCTGAAGGGATTGAAAAGACTATGACAGTTAATTAAATAGCAAAGCATATCAGAATTTTTCTGTGACCCTAAAAGCCTTTTTTAGTCTGCCACCTTAACATTATAGACTCTATGGCTGTAACCTAAAGCAATTGTTACTGCATTTAATGCTTTAAGCTGGATAAAATTTTCACAGGACCATGAAATCAGAAAAAAAGAAACAGGTTAAGGGATTGTTTCTCTGTTGACCTTGTTGCACAGGACTCAGCAGACAGGCCTGGGATAGAAATAAAATCTAGGCTTCAGGTGTTTCCAGATGAATGCTCCAATTTAGGTCTGTATTCGAGTGAAGAGAATCATTCATGGAGGGATTTACTCCAGCAGTTCTCTAAGCCAAGCTCTTACCTCAAGGCAAATAAACTAACAGGAATCAGAATATCCTGAGCTGGGAGGGACCCACTCAGATCAAGTCCAACTCCAGGCCCTGCACAGGACGACCACAGTGATCCCTCCATGACCTGCTTGATGACTGGAATTTTACACCTGACATTAACCCAATGCCCAGAAATTTCCACTGAGTTTTACAAGAATAGGATGGAGTTATCTTCTTCTCTGTAATTCTTCCGACAGGGAACTTCATAATAGAATGTGGAAATCCCAGGATCCAGAGGCAGTGGAGTAGCAGCCACTGAACTGCCCTATTTCAAGTCAACCACATACTTGACTCTCTTGCAAATTAATCCAGCGGAGTTAATTCTGCCACTGTTTCTCCATTTGTATTCCTGAGAAAATCCTGGCTTTGCCAGTGTGTTCCCAGAGTGCTTTATATCTTCAAAGCACTTCCCAAATGCCAAGTGTTATTATCAGAACATTAACTCTCCTCAGGCCCCCAAGTTATTCCGCAGGATCTTTGAAGACTATTTGATTATCCAATCAGTTCTCCATGTGTTAATACTCAGGCACTCGGAGTTTGTCACATCAAAAAGGAAGGAAGGAAGGATTTGTCAGAAGGACAAACAATTACCAGGAGCAGGAGCAAATTGGCCATTTGTCAGGAGCAATGTGGATGTTCTTGAGCAGGTGTCGGCAGGGCCGCCTTGATCACACCCAGCCACCCCGCTGGAACCAGACCAGCCATTTCCTCAGCAAACACCTCAGCTCCACTGAGAAAGAGCTTGGAAGTTTGTTTTCTCTGGTAAATGGAAGTGATGGCAGCTTCTAGAACCCTTAAATAGTAAAAATATCAGAGCTGGCCTCACTCTCAACCTGTGCCACTCTTTCTTCATAACAGAATGTGTTGCCTGCCAAACAGCACCACCTTCTATAAAGCATTATCCGCTATTATTTTAGGGGGGATTCCTTAACCAGGAATGTTATCTCCTATTTTTCCCATCAAAATAAGTACAAACTTGTTTGAATTAATTCAGCTAAGCAACACCTCTCTCTCTGATAGTTAAACTCCAGGCATGGCTCAGCAGTGAGACAGAGAAATTAATGCGCATTTCAGCTAATCAGCCAATCTTCATAGAATCACAGCACGGTTTGGGTTGGAAGGGACCTTAAAGATCATCCAGTCCAACCCCTTGTCATGGGCAGGGACACCTGCCACTATCCCAGGTTGCTCCAAGCCCCATCCAAACTGGACTTGGGCACTTCCAGGGATGGGGCAGCCACAGCTTCCCTGGGCAACCTGTGCCAGGGCCTCCCCACCCTCACAGGGAAGGATTTCTCCCGAACGTCTAATCTAAACTTACTTTCTTGTATCAATTTTTAATTGTGGTAAGTAATTTATTTTACTCAAAGTTTTTTTTAGGGTTATTTGGCCAGATTCTTGTAGCCACAACCACAAACTGGGAATCTCTTGACTTACACTACACGTGGGCTCAGTTTTATCAAGGCCAGTCACACAGCAGAGAAAGGAGCTCAGCTGACAGGTCCACTTTAATGATCAGCATCAAAAGAAGGAGCTTAGCAAAGATCCTCAAAATCTGGAATCCCCTGGGAGATGGCATGTTGCATCTGGCTGGATGTAATAAATAATTAGTTACCCTTCCATCAGCACAGCAGCAACAGAGAGGGCATTGTGCTTTCATTCCCATTCTAACACAGTTCAGCAGAGTCCTTTCAGAGCCTGGAAGTATCACAGCACATCTGACAGCTGATCAGACTCCACTCCTAATGAACTGGGTCATTCCCAAAGAGGAATTGTATTATTTGCTTGATGGAAAATCTAGTTTTTAACATGAAGAGCTTAATTACACAACGAGATCCAGGCACAGGTTTCTCTGGTCCTTTATTGTAGTTGCACACTAATGTAACAGTGTAAAATCCAGCAGCTACAAGGTTCTACACAGCAGGTAAAAACTGAGGGAAAAGGCATTCCCTGTTACAGATGTTGTCTGCTAAGAGTGATTTCAGTAAATTATGATCAGGCAGATAACAAACATTAAAATACACAAAATGTAATAACAGCCACGAAAACACAATGAACAAAGAAAAAAAGCAAAGATGTGTCAACAAATACAGATTAAACCAGTCAAAATTAAGGCACAAACAGACCCTTCCTCCAAAGTACAATTCCAGTCCTCTAAAACCCTGCAGAGAGATCAAAACAATCTCTGTTTCTAGGGCTTTCAAAGCCAAGGGAGACTTTAAAACTCTGAGAGCAGCTCTTGTTCAGCTCTGGGGTCATTCCTGGCAGAAGGCAGCACAAGAGTGGTCAGGGGTATGAGGTGGTTACACCTAAGTGAGAAAGTTCTGGAATGCAGGAATACAGATCAAACATTCCAATGCCAAAGGGAGTTGTTCCAACCACAAAGTGACCAAGAATGAGATAAGAGCAGCATTTAACAGGAATATTGAAAGGCAGCTGGAAGTCAGGCCAACACAGACACAGGTCTATGCTCAAAAACCTTCTACTCCCTTTTCAGTCAGTTTTCCCAAAATTATTTCTATTACAGTCTTTAATTCCTAGTACTTATTGCCACAGGAATGCCTCCCAGGGCACTGCTAAGTTACAAAAGTGACTACTATGCAAGGAAAACTCAAATATGTGCTTTGACCCTTTCATATTGTACTACCCTAAAGAGCCCAAAGGTTCATCTTTCAAATAAAGTTTAACTTAATTGTGCAAAATCATTACAAATATCAGCTCTTACCCAACAATTAAATCATTTTTATACACACAAAACAGAGAATTAAGGCAAAAGAATTCTACCCCATCTCCTGTTTTACACACATGTGCAGGCACACAATCCTTTCCTTGAAGTCAGCACTCACAAGGCCAATAAAGTGATTGTAACATACAAGTTAAAATTAACGCCCAAAATTCCTATTCTGTCCATTTCCAAAGTGAAAATTCCAACAACAATCTGCCCTGCAGCTGAGCTCCTTCCTGCCTTAACCAGCCATGCTAAAACACTACACATAAGTGCAAGAAACAGCAAAATAACTGTAACAGAAAACTTACTTTTGTAGCACAGTAAAGTTAATTTTTTCTACATTGACCCTGTTTCCATATATTTGAAGTGATCAGTGCTGAAATTTATTAATTATTATTAATTTTATGGCAGTAAAAACAGATGTGATTTTATGGAGTATAGCTTAGTAACTATATGACTTGATAATTCA